TCCCTAACAGTGATGCAGCTGGAAAATAATTAAATGAAAATTATATTATTATGATTTTTATTCCCACCGCAGCTCATCTACTGTAATCTCTTTTCTATTTCCAGAACACTTCTCGTGTCATTGTTGTGTAAGGCATCTGGTCAGTATAGCTGTTACAAGCCAAGGATTGTAAGAACTGTTTTAATTAGCATAATCTCCTAGTCACAAACAGTACAATCTTTGTCATCAGAAAGGAGAATTATATAAAGTTGCTTCTAGCCACTGTGGTCATTTTGGAGTTGTGTGGTTGGGGGGAGGGTGTTTATTTCTTTTTTGTGCCATTAAAGTGTAGAATGAAATGCCTCAAATATTGTTTCATCATTTAGTACTGTTCATTAATTTCATCACTAGGATACAGACCTACATTTAGTAGAGTGGTATAACTGGCCAGTGGTAGCTCTGGCCGCCATGCAAAAGATGCTAGAAGATTCAAGAGTGACCACACTGTCAAGATAACAAAAAAAGCTGCAAGGTAGCATGAAATGACACAGGAAGATAAAACCCACCCTCCATTTAAGCTCTGTTGTCCTAAAGACTGGCCAGGATATGTATTGCTCAGTTCACTCCTGCCTGTAAGTCAGCATGTCCCTTGCCTGACTAGGTTAGCCTCTGTGAAACTGACCATTATTGTGCACCTGTGTCCCCAGCCATAGAGGATCCTTGGGCATCTCATGGGTTGGGTTTTTGTTGTTTGTTTGTTTTGGGTTGTTTTACCCGTGTCTTGGTAAGAACTGTGTAAATTAGAAACTAGTGTTAAAGAGGAGAAATATTATGAGAATGAGGGTGTGGGCACTGTTCAGCTGGACCAGATTCCCACTCACCACACCATATGGCTACTCACTTAAGCCCTCTGGACTGCTCTTCAGAGAAACTTTGATATTTTCCTTGAGAATACGCAAGTGCTTAAGGAGAATTCAGGCCACCAAAATATTATTTCATGTATTTCTCTGGGTCGTACAGGTTTTGTGTGGCAGACCAGTTTCTGAAGACTTAGACAAGAGCCTCACATTTTTTCTCTTCCCTAGCAGGCTTCCTCTTCTCCCCTAGCAGGCTTCTACTTGCCTTTGAAGACTTTCTTATCAGTAGTTGATATTTAGATTTATGAGAAAAGATAAAATACTTTTCTTAGGTTTTGTCATTCCAAGAGTGCTTTCAGAAGGACTCAACTTCATTCTTTTGGACTTTCTGAAAGTGCACCCAAAACTGTTCCTGTGCTACTTAGTCTTATGCAGAAAGTAATACATATTTTAGGTTTGCTAATATTGTTTAGCTGCTTTGAACTGGTAGCTTTCTTCCAGAGAATGTTTGCAAATAATACTGTCCCTCACTGTGTGACTGTTGTACACATACATATGTTTGTCCATACTTTGGGATTTGGATCTCTGAACAGCAATGTTGTTGCCCGTCTGAGGCTAGTATAACACAAGATTAGTACAGTATGTGTTGCTAGAACTGATTTTAAATTTAAAATTAACATTGGTATGCCCCTTCTAGTCACTTACTAGTCACTGTTTATACTGATCTGTATTCCTTTTTTTTTCCCCACTCAGATGTTGCAAGAGCAATTGAGTTACTGGAGAAACTGCAAGAATCTGGGGAGGTACCAGTACACAAGCTACAGTCCCTAAAAAAAGTGCTGCAGAGTGAGTTTTGTACAGCTATCAGAGAGGTATGAAATTGAGTTTTTTAGTTATTTCTCAGAATAACATCCCTCTCCTAAAAGGAAAAGTGTATTTGCTTTTCAGTGGTTGAGAAGCAGGAGTACCTTGTATAAAGGGTGATGGATGTGAGATGTGTCTGTAGCTGCCTGCTACCATTGCAGAATGCTGAAGTTACTGAAAAGCAGGCAGAACAGTTGCATCAGCAAGGCATCAAGCCTGAGGCAATGAGCCTTGCTAAAGAGAAAGACTGATTAATTAGTACTTCAGTGTTCTCCTCATGCTGTTTCAGGGTCTGTGGTAACCTGTACAGCACTATGCTGGGATGTGGGGACATGCCAGGTTGGGTCAGTGTAAGCTTAAATGCCTCTCAGTTGAGCTCAGGTGTGTGATAGGGATGTGCTGATAAGATGAGATTGTGGTGAGAGTCAAACAGTGCAAGCACTGAATTTAACTGAAGCTGACAGGAATCTTGCCGTGGAAGTCAGTGGTCAGGTCCCGGTGGATGTTGCTCCACATGCCAGAAATCCTTGTCAGATTGCAAAGAACTGTGATCATTACCCTGCCAGCTGTGGTCAGGGGCCTGCCTAAGCACTGCCCAACAGTAGATAAACGATGATTGTTTCCTTCTAATTAACTAGAGGAAAAGTAACCCCCTTTCTACATGCATACAAGCGGTATCTTTAAAGCAGTACATTTACAAATACTTCTGTTAGAAGTTTCTTAAGACAGAAACCAGGAATTAATAGAACATTGTTTTAGACTTCTTACTTACAAAACTAAGTGCTATTAGCCTGCCAGAGAGGAGAAGCTCTAAATGCCTCAATGATGGCAACATCTTTTCAGCAGAAACTCTGTAAGAACTTTTGTTTCAGTTTATCTATCTCCTGCCTGGAACTAACCCTCCCTTGCTGAATCGATGGGGAATCTAATGTTCCCTCGATGGTGGCAGGATTGAACTCTTGATAACTAGGCAACAGCAGCATATTGATCAAGTGGACTCCTGGGTGGCTGGAAGGAAGAAAGAGAGGAACAGACATTAGTTTCATAAGCAAAATGTAACACACTCTTTGTTTTAAGGAGTATATTCTTCAATGTGAGAAACAAAGAAAGGCTTCCACTTAATTAAATGGCAATTTTCAAGGCTTTTTAAAGGGAATAGTGTTCTATGAAAATAAATAATGGCATTGAAAAGCTGATAAAATGACTAGTCCTTTCATTTAACCTACTAAATGCTTCTCTAATTAACCAAAGGGCATTGAAAATTGTGGGGGGTTTGTTCAGATTTTTTTTCCAGATAGCAGGGCCTGGTACGCCAGTTTTTAAAGGCACTTTTCAATCTTTGCAGCATCATCAGTGAAATCTTACCACATTTATATTCCTCTCTGAAAAACAGTCTTAGCAGAAGCAAAGGCAAAGCTTGTTGTGTACAGACACTGGGAAGTAAGAAAATGGCTTAGATAAATGCACTTTCAGTTCAGTGAGCTGAAAGTAGGTTTTGACAAAGTCCTCTCAGTGGCATAAAAGGTCTTTATTGCGTGTTGTGCGAAGGCAACCTGCACATGACAGACTATCTAATTACTGTTAGATTCTTACAACCAAATAATAGTCACTTCAGGAAGCCTGGAGCTAGTCGTTACACACGCAATGAGTGGTGATGAATGAGCAGTTACATCAGTTCTACCAACTTCACAAACAAAAACATTTCTTTCTTTTTACATATTTAATATATAATATAACCTATCTAATAGATCAATACCAGAAAACAACATTTCTGCATGCCAAAAAAAAATTTAATGCCATTCACCACCATGTACGTAAATCTTTTCTTAGAAGAAATTTTCAAATATAAAAGGCCCAGTAACAAATCTTTTAATTTAGGGAGAGTGGGAGAACTGACATATATACATTGTTAATACTTAAGGTTGTTCAACATACGGCTTCTCTTTTCAGTTACTTACATTAAGCCCTTGGCAAGTGTTTAGACTGTAACTCTCCTTTTTTCCACCAATTGAAGAGTTGTTGGGAAAAACTGCAGAAAAGAGTTTCTTCCATTTTAAAAAAAAACAAACAACTAGTAAGAAAAGCATGGAATATTTTGGCTATGTTACATTGTTAGACATCTCCAAGCACTGCAGCAAGGGCTTGGAGGTTATCTGAGCTGGGTCTTGCAGTTAATTAGTGGTGCCCTTCTTGCATGTCCTTCAAGTACACTGGAGTTTATGAAAAACTGATAGCTACTTTATTGAACAGCACAGTCTTTTCTGAGCATATTTGAACTTGAGGCAGGTGAGGGTAGACAGAAATCACCCTACAAATGATCCCTCCCATTGTATTTGTTCTCTTATCCCAATTGCAAGACATGAGAGAAGACATGGTAACTAGCTGTTAGTTCCATCTATGAGCATCTACTTAGGCTAGGGTAGAAAAGTTGTTGAGCTTCCATGAGAAGGCATGACAGTCAGTGGGAAGTGACAAGAAAAGTGGGAGTATTTTGAAACACAAGAACCTTCTTGGAGAAGGCAGTGAAGCAGACCATGTGTGAGCAGTAGCTAGGAGTAATTGAAATGGGATGAGGAGCAGTGGCAGGCTTTGTATTACTATGCAAATTCTGGAAGAGGCTGCTTATTATATGCATGCAGAGATTCGTATCTGCAGTGTGGTGTGTTCATTGTATAATGCGAGATCTGAGCCTAACTTTCTCTCATCAGAAAATCTAGTAAAAGAGGTTAAGACTGACTCCTTTAGTCATATAACTGCCATAATGGAGGAGATTTTGAAAACAGACATTTTCTATTCCAATCTAAGAAATTATGGACACTTAACTATCCAGTGAGTTTGCTCTTTAAAATGTATCCCAGAGAAACTCAGTATTGGACTGAGTGTAGGTAAAAGGATCAAAGATAAAATATAATCTGTACAATAATGATTGAATGTGATTTACCCTTTCTACAAGTAGGAATTCTTTAACTACAGAAGCAGGAGGTCACTTTTAGATCAATTAGTCTTTAAAAAAGATATTTTATTACATTTCATACATTCCAATCTAATATGTAGGAATCTATTAAATGGCTGTAATGAACTGTATTTTTGGGAACTTATTTAGAAAATCAACCCACCAGTTCAAATCCCCCACTAATATTCCAGAGAAATAAAATCTTTTTAAAGTGACCAAGTGAATGAAATTTAAATAGAAGTAGTTTGGGCTTTTTTAGGATGCTGTGTCAGGAAATGGTGATTAATGGTTCTCACTTAGCACAAGTACTATCAACTGAAATGTTCTGTCTGGCACTAGGCAAGAATATGTATTAGCTCTAAAAATAATGAAAGTAATTTAAGTATGTAATGGCCTCAGTATTTCCTTTTCATCTGAAGTGACCCCTAGACCAGAAAACAAGTTAACTGAAGTCTGGTCACATTAAAATGGAGGTTTGGGAAAAAAAAATAAATTGCATTTTAAAATTACTTGTTTCAAAAGCGCCCTAACTACATGAAGATTAATTAGCCTTTTATAGCCTTGTCACCTGGAAAAAGATGCATGAATCTTGTCCATTATACCATTAAGTCCTTTACCCTTCCATGTTTTTTTGCTGTGTATTCAAAGCTGTTCCAATGTCATAGTCTTCTGGTTCCCAGGGGGTTACTGGATTAGATGAAGGGCAAGGCTGCAAAAGTGAATGCATAATTGAACTACTGAGAAGGTGTTTTCATGTGGAACGTTAAACCAAGCAATTGATAAAGTGACTTTAATTGTTGTAAGTCAGTAAAAAGGAAGTTATGAGAACTGTAAGATAAGGTGAACTTGTGCTTCGGCAAGAAACTTTTAAAGAGCTGTAAGCATGGAAGGTGGAATAAACAGCTGAGAAAAGCAGAGTGAATCATCAACAAGAAAATGTGGCATACCTTAGCAGATTACAGGAATTTAATTTGTGGTAATTGGTACTGAAACAGCAGGACAGTAATGATACAGTGTGATAAACCCCTGCATCTCCTGATGAGTGGAAGTTTGCTTTCAGGTTAATTCTCGAGTTTCTTTATGTTAAATATGTAAAATTCAGGTGTATCTTGCTTTCCTCCCGGCCTTCCTTCGATACTCTGTTTTTCATTTCAACATTAAATCTAACTTTTTTCTGTATGAATATTATTTAAAAGAAAATCTGACTGGTAAATACCTGTGGTAAAACATGTATCAATACCAAAAGTAATCAGATCAGAAGTTCATTATAAAAATATGGTGTGGCAATCAGATACACAAAAATAACCATTATTTCATTCTGTTTTTTTATGACTCCCACCAAAATACCAGGTCATTGCAGAAAAGCACTTTTGCAGGACTGGGTCTCTGACAGTGGTTTCTTAAAAGGAACACAAAATACAGTCAAGTGAGATTTTAATGTAGGAGTCATTTAAAGACCTGGTTTTGTTGTGTTTCGAGATCTCAAGATATGTTTGTTCAGTTTGCAACAGAGTGCTGTTCCTCTACCTCCCAGGCCTAGCTTCTGAATGCAGAGTTCCATTGTTTTCTGCTTGATGAATCCAATTTCCTGTAAAAATAGAGGTTCATCGTGCCAGACTTTCTTGGTTGTCAGTGAGGGCAACCCCAGAGTTCAAATCCCACTCTGCATTACTCTTTCTTTTCACTGGGAGCTGAATATTTTTTACAGGAGACGAAATACAATTCCAGTCAGTCTCTTATATCTATAGGGCAAGCCCAGCTTTTGAAGTTTTTTAATTAAAATATGGAACTTCAGGAGATATATATCAAGAAGACTTACTTCTATAATCCACAGAAGTAAACTGAAATTAAGGCTCAGTAGGAAGCCTGACATGTGAAGTCCCCTGCTGGCACATTTACCCATGCAGATGGAGGTGTTGGTCAGGATTAAACAAAAGTGGTATGTTGGACTTAACTAATAAGGCAATTAGCAAATAAAAGCGCAATAGCACAACTCATATGAGTCAAGTGAATGAGATTTATCAGCTCAGATTTGTAACTTAGGTCATAAAAGCA